CCGCTCCTGCCGCATCACCCCCTCCTCCCCGCTCACCACCACGCACGGCACCCCGCTCACGTACGCCTCCGACACCACCCCCGGCCCGGGCTTGCCCACCAGCACGTCGCTCACCTGCATCAGCCCCGCAATGTCCCGCGAGAACCCCGTCACCCACGTCCCCGCATACTCGCCCCCGCCCACCTTCTTCCGTCGCTGCAGCTTGTCCAGCAGCTGCCGGTTCCGCCCGCACACCACCACCACATTCACCTTGTCCTCGCGCCGCACAAACATCTCCACCAGCTCCACCACGCGCTCCGTCGGTGGCTCTCCGCCAAACAAAATCAGCACCGTGACGCGTCGCACGTCCAGCGCCATAGCGGCCAGTCTCTCCCTGCGCGCGGCCACGCACCCGTGCGCCGCCTTGCCGGCATAAAAGCGCGGGTGCACGACCATGCCCGACGAGCGGGCGACCGTCTGCGAGGTGCCGACGGTGGCCGGCGGCAGGTAGCCCTTCGCCACGGCCTGCGCGTACGCCACGTCCGTGCCGGCGACGATGTACTGGCGCGGGTGCTGCATCCACGGGTGCGACCGGGTGTGCGCAAAGTCCGTGAGCACGGTCAGCAGCGGGACGTGCGCGGGCAGCGTCTCGGCGAAGACCGCGTTGAGCATCGGCACGAACGACACGACGCAGCACAGGTGCGGCACCGCGCGCCAGTGGGCGCGGAAGGCGCTGCGCAGCGACGGAAGGGCCAGCGGGAACAGAAAGGCAATGGCCGCGTGCATCGCCTCGATGGCAGCCACTGCGTTGTGCGATAGAAGCACGTTGTACAGACGGTCGCCCGCGGACGCGCCCGAGATGGACGCAGCGTCCACTAGCTCCACGTGCACGCGCGACGCGGGCAGCGCTGCGGCTACCGCTAGCGCAGACGCCTTGTGCCCGCCGCCGCCGTTGCCGTACATGAGGAGGACGCGTTTCATGGGGGAAAGGTGAGGAAGGCAGTAGGGTGGTTTGCGGGGGGGGGGGGGGGGGGGGGGGGCGGGTTTTGTTTTCTGCAGGTAGAGGGTACCGGTACCCTTGGGTACAGTATCCAGCATAGCACTGACATGCTGTACAGTGCTAGTGGTGGCGGGAGATATGTGGGTTTGAGGAAAATGTTTTGGGGGGTTCTGGTTGGTGAGCGACGTGGCAGTTTTGGCGCGGTGGAATGCACGGCACCATTGTGGCCTACAGTACTTGTACGGTACCAGTACTGTACTGCCATTGTGCCCCCCTCGTTGTACAGTACAATGGTGCACTACTTCAATACTCCAGTAAAGTACTTTACTTTACTTGTATGTGACTGCATTCTGCAAAATCTCATTCATCCACTTGCACCTGCCATTGTGCACCCGTTGACTGCACTGCATTCTGTAAAACTCTCATCATTCATCCACTTTGCACCCTTTCTAACTAACTTTCAAACGGGCGTGACCCCTACCAAGGGTACATTATATCCCCCGCCACGCGCGCCAACGCCTCACATCTGCCTTCCACATCATACGCCCGAGCGTACCACATGCAACTCTGCACCATATGCCGTAGCTACGCCACTTGGGAGAGGGACAGACGAGGATTTTTGGAAGAGACGGGGGGGGACTTGGGAGAGGCGCGACTTGGGGGGGGCGGGGGGGCCCTTCCACCAGCAGATGCTTTGCTGCCCTCTACACGTGTATCATACGCACAACAAAAGCTTGCAACCTGGACACGTGTACTGCCCATCACCAGCAGTGCTCCCGACCGAGTCCTACTTTCCACACTATTCGAACAACCGTCTTCTCCCCTCCCACTCCTGCATCCCCCACCCCCCGGGGTCGACGTCAACGCCTCCCACAGCCCCGCCGCACCACATCCACACCACACCCCTGACCCGCCTCGAGCCCGCCGCCAACGCCCCCGTCCCGCCGCTCCACGAGACCCTCCAGCCCCGCCCCAACACCCTCGCCCTCACCACGCCCTCGCCTCGCCCCCGCCCACGCC